GATATATTCTCATCCCATGATCCAGTATCGGAACTGTATCCTTCACTTAAGTTCCTCCATTATTGATCTTTATCATCCCCACCATCATTAGGATTACCACCACCACCTGCAGCTGCTTTCACTTGATCGTCATCTCCACCATCACCCATGTCCATGTCTTCGGAATATGACTGGAAGTCAAATTCGATTTAGGGTTTTGAGGATGAAGCTTGATGGAACTGAAACTTTGAACTTGAAGGAAGAACGTTGGAGATCTTAATGTTTGTATCATCAAACATGATCTGAAATCTAACTTCATCATCTATACCATTAGGAGGATCATCCGAAACCAGAGTGGATTCGGAAACATCTCATTTTTCTTCTTCATTGGACTGAGTAGTATCATCTGAAGGAGTTTTATCGGGAACATCTGCACTTGGTTCTTCACCAGTAACAACCTTTCGAGGAGGCTCATCTGAAGTTTGCTTAGGATCGGGCACATATACATTCGGAATATTGACTGTAACATTTGGCGATGGATCATCTAGTGGATTAGGAACATTATCGAAAACGTTAAGCTAAGTATTGATGTAAAAAATATAAGCATATAAATCTATATCCTTTGGAATGATATAGTGATCACTCTGAGTCACATTCCAGTCAAGGTGTACTTAATCTAATCTCGTGTGAGTTCTGGATGTATGAGTTGAGCCCTGTCAATAAAATCATTCCAATCCAAGTTGGTAGCACCCGAACTTCCTTTACCCGTGGTGGGTATCAGTTCGGTTGGGGCTTTCGAAATTAAAAGGACAACTCTGAGTTCGGAATGCTTAGGATCTATAGCGGAAGCTATAAATCATGCTTGTGTAGAAGGAAAATGCTCAAAAGTGACTCGTGAGTGTGTTCCAGGTGGCTCCAAGGTAGTTTGTTCAATGCCAACGCCACCCTCTTGGGATGGTGGGAGCAGATTATGTATAGAATCCCCATGAGTGTGTGCCTGTGATATTGAGACTTTGAAGGGTACTTTAGAAGAATGGGTTGGTTGTGTAGGCAGAGACCCAGAGTCAGGTCAGAAACCAATCGGTGGATCCTGTTGAGAGGAAGCACTATTTTTGGATCTTTTTTTGGCTTTGACTTTTGAAGGGGACCTATTTTGCTTCTTGGCAGGCATCTTGACCTGAGCACCAGAAGTGACATGTCTATTCTCTTCCAATGGGTTAACCTCCGAAGTTGGGGCATGGTTTAGTGGGTCAACTAAAACCGAAACTTCAAGATGATGTTTCTTGAAAGGAGAGTCAGCAGGAATAGAGTCCAACATGTGTTGTGGGAGACATCGGATGGGTCCAAAGAAGTTCTGATTCGAAATTTTATAAGATTTTATAACTTTAAAAGAACAATATACCTTAGGCGGATCAATCATCAGAGGAATTGGTTCTCGTCTTTCCGAATAAATTTGTTGAAATGCCAGCACCCAAAACCTCGGACTTTAAATCTCATTGTTTTTCCAACGAACTGCAAATTTCTGAAAGTCTTGCCAAAAGACTTCAGGCATATTAACGATGTTTGTTCTTCCCGTGAAGATGTTGTAAACAATATACAACCATCCTTTTCTCATGGAGTCTGAGCCTCCATGCTTGTCGGAGAGACTCTTCATTAATATCGTCCACATGACAGAAACTGCTAATTTCTTGAATTCGTTGGACTTGTACTCCCCTTTGAAGCCGAATTGAGTCAAGAACTCTTGAAAGTTTTTAGGAGTGAGTTCAACAACTTGGAAATCCTCAGGATTTAGGGAAATCCCACTGGCCTTGAGGAAGGTTTCTTTTGTGACAGGAATGATCCTATCATCTGTGATGTAGCACTCAAAAACATCATTGTCAATGTTCACTCCCTCGAACGCTTTATATAATTATTACTAGGGAAATTAGGGTTTGGAACTTTTGTGAATGGAATAACGATGGGATAATTGATCATCACGTGAACAGATTCATCATAATCTTGAGGGTCGAGTGAAAAGAGTTGAGTAGTGTCCCTCAAAATGGGTTCAGTCGAAGAAGATGAGGCAGATCCTTTGGAGGATTTCTTCTTCGAAGCGGACTTGGAAACTTTGGATGCCATTGATGAGTTTTTGAAGCTTAGATGAAGAACACAAAGTAAAAAGAGAGTTCTAAGGCAAAGAGAGATAAAAGAGCGTAAATAGGAATCAGTTTGGATTCCAAATCCTTTTATAGGTGGGTTTGTTTCGGGTCGGGTCAGAGAAGCAATGATGACATCCAACTTGGAAACGGGTAGCAATAAAGCGGGTTACATAATTACCCTCCTATGTGACAGTAAAACAATCGGTCAATTTCTTATTTTGCATCCCAAAGCATGTTTATTGGAATTAAAAGATAATCATATAACCGTTAGACAAAGTACTTGGATGTTTCATTAAACACGATTAAAAGAAAATCTTAAAATCAAAATTATTCATTTATTTGAAAGATGTGGTTGGATTCTTGAAATTCCAAAAGAGAGACATTAGGTGCTTCCAAAAAATGAAAGTCATTCACTTATGTTTGATATCGATCCAAGAAATGGCACAATTTCTTGAATGGAATAAAATGGCATTGAAAAAGGAATAAAAATGTTAAATTCAGGCTCACCACGGCGCGATAAGGACCTTGTTGTGACGTGGTAAGCGAGGCGATGATTTGAGTTATCCACCGTCGTAAGTCGCATGCAATGTACTTTGGTTGAGCGACGTAGTGTATGGGTGCCACGACACGGTGGGAAAAGTAGTTTTTTTATTGGCAATGGTCGCCACAACGAGGAAAAAGGGATACATCGCGTTCATTTAACCAACCATGCACGATGAGGTCTTAGCTGTGGTGCGGTTTTGAACATGATTAAAAACCGATGTTAAGGCTCATTTGTTCATTATCGGCTCCCATTTCCGGTAGAGCGCTCCTCCAATGATCTGGTGATTAAGAAGTGTTGAAGTGGCGATTTGGCTTGCTTTGGACTATGTAAGATCATCTTAAACTCTTGTAGTTTTTGTTTTCTTCACTTTTAATCTTTTTGATGGCTTTAATGGTAGATTTTGGATTTGAGGTTTTAATGCAAGATTTCTCCAAGTAAACTTGATAATAATGCTCGATTAAGTGTTTAGAAGCTTAATCCATGGTTTGTATGAAGTTATTATGGTTGAAATCCATGATTTGATTCTAGGGTTTTGAAACACTAGAAATGGAAATGAACAAGGTTTATATGTTATAATCTAGTTATGTTGAGTGTTTATTAGTTTGATTCGGGTAGTTTAACAAGTATTTGAGCAAAGGATGGCCAAGTTAGGGTTTTTTTTTCCAAAATATGAGTTTTTGGCTAAAATCACAAGTTATGTCTTAATGGATTAATACATGTATGAGAGGCTTTATGTATGCAAATGTTCTAGGTGGTAGCAGCGAAGGATTTTGAGCTTCTCAAGATAAGCTTTGGAGAAGTTGGAAATAGGCTGCTATTTCCACGACATAAGGTGAGTTATACTTCTCTTTCAGAGTATGTTTATGCTATGGAGAACATGTGCAAACATGTGAGTGTATGGATGTAATTGTTAATTACATCATTTTAAGATTTTTTGTTAAAATACATCACTTGTGTTATGTTTTATGATGAGTATGTTTATGCATGTAAAGAGTTAGATTAAGGGATCCCTAAGAAGATTATGTTTAGAGCTTGCATGGAAAACTGTTGGACTAAGTGTATAAAGTCTTAACTAATTTGGTATACTCTTAGTAAATAAAAGTAAAGTCCTTTTTAGGTTGCCTTCATAACGAGGAAATAGCTTGGATTAATATTAAGAAAGAGATAAATGATTTATTAAAATATTATATGATTAATATATTAATTAGAAATAATAAGTAATTAATTACGAATTAATCAAAACTAATTTAATTAATGATTAATTAGAATTAATTAAGGGTGCAAGGGTTACAGTGCAATTGTTCAATGTTTAAACAAGATAGCCATTATAGAACCTCCCTATGGTGGAAGGTTTTAAGAGCCCTCATTAGGATTTCTGGAATCCTCCATTTGCTGATATGGTAGGTGATTTGAATCAGATTAAAATATTATTATTTGAATATTAAAGTCATGGTTACCTACAACTATAAATATGGACATATTGAAGGCTTGAAAACCCTAGAGAATTTCGAAATTACTCTTCTTCCTCTCTCTTTAATTTTTTATCATAGAGTTTCCTAAGGTTTGGGTGTGACACATTAGAGGCTGCCACATTATTGGAGCTTTCTTTCCAAGAAAGTTTTCAAGAGAGGTGTTTGGCTTAATTCGAATTAAGCAAATGTATGTTTTTTATGTAACTTTCGATTACATTAGGTTAATTAGATTAGATTTCAAAGTATGTTTCTATTATGAGAAAAGTCATAGATTTCTAGGTTGCATGTGCTCATAATTGTTTATGTGAAATTCCGTTGTGCAAATCATGTTTGATTAAATATTACTGTAACCTAGAAAGCCCATAAGAAACAAAGATGATGATGACCGGTTGTTTATCAGTCGGTATATGTGTAGATGCTTGGTTATTTATATGACAAGTCAGATATGTATTGTATGTTTATGTTGTATTATGTTATGTTATAACTCACCAGACTTATAGTTTTACATATATATGTCTGACTATGTTGCCTACCACAATATATGTGTAGATGATGATGACCGGTCAACCTCTACTGGACTAGTAAGAGGTATATCAAACAAGCTTTTAGTCGTTTTCTTGGAAGTACGCAACATATTTCCAATAACATTCTTATCATACTTTGTGACGAATTTCCAATGGATTCGTGAGTGATTCCCGATGGCTTTCTGAAAAATTTCCAATGGATTTTAGACTAATTTACAATTAACGGGAAAATTTGAGGGGTGGCACGTGCTACCCCGTGCTACATATTGTGTCCGCCTTGATTTTAACTAAAAAATTGTTTTAGATAAATACATAGTAATAGTAAGAACTATTTTTTACAACAGTTTATTATATTATTTCAATAGCATGTCATACAAGAGTTTGAATTTAATATCTTAATATCAACAACCAATTTAATTTATGATTTAAAACTAAGTTAGCCGATTAACCTTGTGCTAAATTGCTCGCTTGTTGTCGGGAAAAAACATATTACTTCCTATCTCCTCTTGGCCATCAATCATCCATAGCATGTTGAGAGAGTAATCCCATATTGGAGAAGGTGTTATTTCGTTGGACATGCCAAAAATAGGTCTTATACCATCGTCTTCTAATAAATCTATATTCTTCCATATTTCATCCATTGAATTATATCCATTTTCTCCCTCACTACTATTGTTAAGACTAGTAGCAATACTTGTAATGGTATTGCTATTGCTTTTCCCCTTTTGTGATAGTCAACATTTCTAACCCTCCGGTGTCGTAGAAACTTTTTTCTTTGGTTTCCATCATTTGCATTGAATGGAAAGTATGATTGCTAGTATATATTGATGAGTAAGAAGATGAATCTGAGAGCGATGAAGATGGAGATAAGGCTCTTTTCTGTTCTTGTGCCTTTTCCTCATATGGGTCCTCCAATAATTCTTAATCTCATTATCAGTTCGTCCTGGAAGCTTTGCAGCAATCCTTGACCACCTACACGCCAATTCAATAGTCATTGTACATACAAAACAACAATAATTGTGGATAAACTCAAGAAAAAGAAACATAAATTTATAATTCTTTTAAATATATATGGCTAACTTATAAAGCAAGTAAATAAGATAATACAACTTGTATATATTTTGTCATTTCATGTTCAGTTCCAGCCACCTATTTGGTCACCCTCCTAATTATTATATTATTATTTTAATATTTCCGTTAAAAGTTAATCATTTGTCTACGTAGTACTTAATTTGGTATTATATTAAGTATTACGTTATAACTCGTGCGAACCACGGTTACAAAAATAATTAAAATTTTATAGTAAAACTTATAATTATTAATCAATTATTTTTTCAATAAATTATTAATTAAACATGATTTTGTAGGATTTTTAATATTGAAATACAATTAATTATCGCCAATAATAACCGAAACGTATTCAAGACGAATTTAATTATCACATAAAAATCAGGGATCAAATAAATAGTTGTCTAACTTATTATTAACATCGATATTTTTTAAAAAATAAAAAATAATGAGAAAATGACAAATGTCGTTTTTATAGAATATTTGAAATGAAAAACATAAATTATGAAAAAATAACAAATGACATTAATAACTATTATTTTATTAGTATAGGAAGATATTATTTGTTTATTTTGAACAGTAATTATAATAAACTTCACTCTTGTTTTGGTATTTGCGAGTTACGTAACATTTTTTTTTATGTATGTTTGGAAAACAAACCAAGATTAACATAAATGTTTTATGATCGGCTAAACGTCATACTGTATAAGAAATGAATCATAAAGTGCCAAAATATCTTTTATTATTATTATTATTATTATTATTATTATTATTTTATAATTTCAGTTTTTAAACTTCAGTGGATATAAACTAAGTCCATTCAAATATGCATACATGCTTTCTGAATTCTGAGCCAAATCCTTTCAAGAATACTTTTATGATCAAAGAATATAAGTCTATAACGTAAGTTAGACAACTCGACTTGTAATGGTAGAATAATTCTGGTTAGCTTTATGAATTCATGAATTAAAACAAAAGTAATAAAAGCGAATATAGAATAATTACTAAGTTGATATATACTTGTGCTTAATCAATATCATGGATAAACAAAATATATATATATATATTTACAAAAACAAATGATAACCCCGTATTTCCCGAATATGATTATAACAAAGAAAAAAATATGTCGACTCATGATCATAACTTTGGAATATGGATCAGAGATTTCTCAAAATTATTGGAATAAACATATGCATATATAATTATATATATTTTCGAATAATAAACATACAAATTGAAAGTAATTATAGAATAATAATAAATAAATTAATGGATCAAAAATCGAACCTATTGCCCCATTTAGAATGAAGCTCAAGGATTCGACGCTCTTCTTGAGGAGTCATCTTGCCTCTTTTGAGACCTGGGTGTAGATAGTTTACCCATCTCAATCTGCAACTCTTTCCACTTCTTTTTAAACCTGAATAATTAAAGTTTCAAAAAAGTAGTCCCCAAAATTATATTTGGGTAGGTTAGACAGAAGTAAGTAATTTAAAGATTGATTTTGTTTATAAAAGTGCACATCTTTTACTAGATTTGTTAAGTAATTTCCATGGCAGCAAAACCTTTAACCCTAACAGTAATCAATTACTACCTATGTTTTCATTTTTGTATCTCCCGCCACCTTCAAACCTGAAACTTTTGCTATGAAATCCCATCGTCGATCTCCAAACATGTTCACAAAAGAAACCAACTGAACATCTTCTTGCTCTGTCCATGGCCCTTTCCTCATCGCCATCGACATCATCATATCATCTTCTTGGCCCATTTTTTTTCTTTTCTTTCTTTCTTTCTTTTTTTCTCTCTCAAGAATCTTGTGTTGCAGGTGAAGTGAGTCACTAACTTGAAAATTTTGGTGGACAATAGGGTTTTAATTTATACTGGTGTTCTTATCGTGTTGTTTGAGTGGGGAGAGTTGAATCTTGTGATAGGGTTTTGAATGTGACTGAAGACTTAATCCCATCCGTACACGTCTTGGAGTTCTTTGATGATAAGGGAACCCTACAAGGTCACAACCTTTGTGACATCAGCCCATTAATTTATAAAAGTTGGGGACCTGGTCTTGAGATTGTTGAGATGGTGTTTGATTTAATCCCTCATTCCGTCCACCAAATCGTTTGATAAGCGGATGTAGTTTTTCATCATGCTCCTAGAGTCTAGAGATCACTAGTTAATTACCTTCATTCCCTGCGCCTCCTTCTCCTCATTTTCCTTCCGTGTTAAAGTTGAAATCTTAAAATAGCGTATGGTATGGCTGTTAAGGTGGCGTTACGGTTAAGGTGGCGACGATAACGGCGTTATAACGCCATAAACACCACCCATCCCCTTTCTCGTTAAGGGGACGTTATGTCATCTCCTGTTGTGACGAAGACGGGGTGAAATGCATATTCTGATTGGCTTTTGCTATTTTAACGTTTTCTTAGACCGTTGCATTCGACTAATTAAAAAAAATAATAATAATTCTTTACCTATAAATACATATTATCTAATCAAATTTTATTCACGTTCTTTTTTTTCTCTATATATTACAATTTCAATAACTCTTCAAAAAAAATTATGGATTATTTCGACTCGTCTGACGATAACGATGACGATACGTTAATTATATGATGAATATTTCACTAACGAGCTACTACAATCAGATGTAGCCCCTCTACTAACAAGATGTGCGATGTTAAACAGAAATCACAAGGAAGGACATGGACATCTATATCACAATAACTTTGCGGATAATTGTGTCTACGAGTTAAATGATTTCAAAAGAAGATTTTGTTTGAGTAGGAATGTGTTTCTACAGATAGCCAATGTCTTGGAAAACAGAAATCGTTTCTTTAATATTAATATATATATTTACTATATCTTTATACAAAATAAATACAACTTTTTACATAATTAATATATGTTTAGCTATAGATTTTTCCAATCAAGATATGATGCTAGAGGTAGGCGATGATTAATAAGGTTGTAGAAATGTGTTGCGGCCATTCATTTGATGTTTATGAGAAAGTTGCCCTATACCATGGACGATTATATGAGAATGTCCGAAAGAACTGCAAACGAAAGTTTGTATAGATTGTCAAAAGGTGTTTTTGAAACATTAGGTGACGTTTATTTGCGGAAACATTCGTTACATGATATGCAAGAACTGTATGCGGCACATGAAGAAAGACATGGGTTTTCCGGAATGCTTGAAAGCATTGATTGCACACACTGGAAATGGAAAATTATCCAATGGCATCAAAAGGGTCGTATGCAAGTGGTCATCATGGTGCACATTTGTTGATATTAGAGGCTGTTTCTTCCCCAGATTTATGGATTTGACATGTTTTTTTCGGGGTTGCGGGTTCTAACAACGACGTCAATATTCTTTACCAGTCACCAATATTCGACGATCTTTTGTCAGGAAAAGCTATGGATGCTTCTTTCATAGTGAATGAAAACAAATATAAGTTTGGGTATTACCTTACACATGGAATATATCTTGTGTATTCTACATTCGTGAAGGCATTCCGACACCAGTGTAACCAAGAGAAAAACTATTCAAAAGAAGACAAGAAAGAGCACATAATGATATGGAATGTGCTCTTGGACTACTAAAGTCGAAGTAGGACATAGTAAAAGACGCAACACGACAATTAGACTTAGAAACTCTATGATGTATTATGTATGTATGTATCATAGTAGAACATGTGACACATAGTAGAAGTGGTACATAGTAGAACATGTGGCACGACCATTGGACTTAAAAACCATTGGAGTTCTAAAGTCTGTAACACTCCAAAAATCAAAGAAATTTAAAATTTTCAAAATCAACCATTTAACATCATTGTTTACGAAAGAGTCATTGTTTCCAAAAATATTACTTCAAAATCAGAGTTTCTCAAGACCCAATGCCATAAAAACTGAAAGTTGTGCATGATCATGCCGTTGTTTTCCCACGATCCTTTGAAGTACCTAAAACCATAAACTAAAACTGTAAACCAAAGCTTAGTGAGTTCACCCAAAGTACCACCATACAAACATACAATCAAACAGATAACGGGTACACAACCACCTGGTTGGATTACCTCCGGACCACAACCTTTCGGTTGGAATGTCCCAGCCCATAACCTTTCGTTTAGCTTGCCACACACATAACGGGTCCACAACCTCCTGGTTGGATTACCCTCGATCCACAACCTTCCGTTTGGAATGCCCCGACCCACAACTGTTTGGTTGGCTTGCCCCATACATAACGGGTACACAACCTCCTGGTTGGATTACCCCAGACCCACAACCTTCCGGTTAGAATGCCCTAGCCTACAACCTTTCGGTTAGAATGCCCCGGTCTGTTTTCTGATAGCACAAAGCAGTATAATCTCAACCCCACAATACCATGTCGACATATACATAACAAATAACATATATCCAACAACAAATAATCATATAACCAGTTAACAGACTAGCATGCATATCTACAGATCACTACCATATAGAAACATCCTATATACCAGGATACATAACTGAAGGGCCGACATTGGTGGCTTCGACCCACAAGAAAAATGAGGAAACTCACCTCGATATGCGCATAGGTTACCAAAATAGTAACGAATAACTCCTCTATCTTCAACTCACTTCCTTTCACCTACAAGAAGACACTTGAGTCCAATATTAGAGTTTTCCGACTCTAGGTTTCTCAGATAGAATAATATCTAGGGTTAGTGTTCCACACTTAACCCATTAAGGGCTTATTCTATTAAGCCCGTTGCTTTAATAGGTCAATCATATAATGTGGTCGGGTATAATTCATAACTCCAAACCATCGGTCCAAAACGCGGGTCCCGACAAGTCCCAAACTAAAGTCTCCAAGATTAGGGTTTCCAACCCAAACATGTGCCAATTAGGTTCAAGGTTAGGTTTTTAGGTTAATTAGAGTTTAATAGGTCGGGTACCAACCACTGCCACCCCGGGCGGTGGTGGTCGAAGATGGTTTACGGTAGCAGCCACCACCTCACGGCGGTGGTGGTGATTTTTGAGTAAACCCTCGGACCGTGAACCCTCGCACATATATATATATAGATTTCCTTCATTTTTCACCATTTCTCACACTTTCAACCCAAGAAACTCGATTTTTCTCTCATCTATCATCAAGATTTACACCTTGATCTTCAAATAAGTAAGTGTTTCTCTTATTTTATTAGTTGATACCTTGCTTAATCTAGTGAAACCCTATGATTTCATCCATGAAATCATCTCTTTTGCTTAGATCTTCAAGAACACCAAGAACACCAGGAACACACACTAGTTCTTTAGATCGTGAACACCTCATTCAAGCTTCAAAACGTAAGTATCCTTCCATATACTAGTTATTCTATAGAAGCTCATAACATACATCCTTGAAAAAAACCATTTCCCAAGAACATAAGAGTTTACGGCCATGAGCATCTCCCTTGGCCGTAAACTCAAGATCTTCTTAGGCCGTGAACATCATTGGCCGTAAACTCCATGGCCGTGAACACCTTGTGTGGCCGTAAACCCCTTTAGAACAATCGCATGTGATTGTAACACTTAAATTCAAGTGTTTCCTATTCCCTAAAGTGGTTTCCTATCATAATTAGTTGTTATATACTCTAATTATATCCATATATGTATCATCATATGTTTAATAGGATCCGTTGTGTTCAAGACTTCACTTGACACTTAGCATCCTACACCAATCTTACATTTGAATAACTTACAACAGGTGAGTTCATACCCCCGTATTTTCATAGTTTTTACTGTTTTAAAGGGGGGGGGGGATACAAGTCTAACACAAAGTTTTTGTGTTATAATCAAGTGATTTTCAAATATCTTATCAAAATGGATTTCAGTTATCATCAAATCAAATGGTTTTAAATGATTGTTTCAAAATGACATCAAGTCGCCAAAAATGGATTTCAAAATATCAAACTTCTTTTAAATGTTTTTATAAACTTATATTTTCCCCAAAAATCATACTAGTATATATATATATATATATTTATATAAATAAGATTTAAAAGATTTAGGACTGATAACCCACTTTGGTTCCTTTTCCTTGTTTGGATGTGGGATTACAACTATCAGTTATTTGTCCGAGTGTCATTTAAATTTTACTTATATATATTTGTATATGTATACAAGTATAAAAGTTAGTTCATTAAGTTTCAATTACCCTTTGTAACATGTTGAGCAAGGGGTTGCATTCATGAATACTCGGTATCAATACGGAAAGTACATATAAATTATAATAGGTATAATTTATGATTCACAGAACATTAATTCACGATTCAAGGATACTAGAATACATTGTTTTACAATAACAAAGGTTTGAATCAAAACTATTCAAGTGTATACATTTTTCAGATACATGTTAAGAATACTAATTCAAGAACATACTATCAATCATTTATTTCAGAATGATTGGGTTTTCATAACTATTATACATGTAACGTTTATATGCTTTTATGAGACAAGTAGTTCAGGTTGTTTAATTCATTTTAAACAACATAGTTAAAGTCCTGACATTATAACCAGAATTTCCAGTAGGGGATCGAAACAATGTGTGTATAGATCTATATTGGGATTGACAACCCCGCACTCGGACTGCTAGCTACAGTCAGGCATACACGCCTGTGAGTGACAATTGTTATCAACAGCTTTCAGCGCATTCATAGCGTTGGGTCAAGCCATCTAGTCAGTATGGTTATAATAACTCATTAAAGATATTAACAATACGTTAGTGTATAATTAACTAAACTTATGTACATTTTCAAAGTACTAGTTTACAAGATACAGTTTACAGTATTTCATTACAGTTTACAATAACAGTTGATGAAATCAGACATACTCA